GCCTTCTGGAGCCTCACCTGGATGTCTTTGGGGCCCAGTGAGGTTGAGGAGGTCGTAGGCCACGCGGACGTTGTTGCTGAAGGCAGATCTGGGTTTAAAATGAGAAATGGAATCAAAGTTATGAAATCATAGGTTTGTCTGAAGCAGTTAGAGACACTATATTCCAACGCAGGGCTTTAATAACATCCACACAACCAACTGGTAGTTGAAATATGTATAAAAAGCATAAATCTTTGTCTTCAGTCTCTAAAATAGCAAAATACTGAGATACATTTTGAAATCTGAAACCTTGCCACAACCTGGCAACCCAGAAGCAGTTCTTTAGAATGGATTTGAACTTTTATAGAAAGCATCAGCGACGAGGTTTGTACGATGAACATTTAATGAAATGGTTGTTGTTAGAAAGTGGCAGCAGGTTGTTGTGTGACTTTAGCAGAGTGGCTGGGTGAGTGAGCGAATCTCTAATGAAACCCAATGATCTCATGTATAACCACAGTGTTTGGACCGTGAACCTCTGGGAGTGGTGCGCCAGCCGCAGGTGCCACAGCGCCCGGTTGAGATGCTGCTGCTCCTGGGCGCCTGCACTCAGCGGCGCGTTGCTCAGCGGCTCCGCGTCGCAGCCTCCGGCCGAGCCGCTCTCCGTCATGGAGGCGAGGTTGCAGAAGTGGTCTGCGAGGAAGCCGATGGGATCTTCCGACCTGGCCTCCACCATCTTCAAGATGGCGCCGCGGAGCAGCTCCCCGACACCCGCCTGCAACAGAAACTCCCTGTCGCTGTCCGACTTGGTGGCTTTGCACTCGGGCATCCCAGGAGGAGCAGCCCCGGGCCGGCGTTTCTCCTTGTCCGCCATTGATGTTGACGTCCGGTGTCGCAGCAACGGCAGCGGAAGTGATGGAAGAGCGACCGGAAACAGGAAACGGAGCAGTTGGGGCGGGGAGAAACCATGTGGTGTGGTCTGCTGAGAAAAACTATTCATTCCATGGATATAAAATAAGATAACATCATATAATATATTACA